TGAAAAATGATTTAGAAGAAACTGGAAAAATCGTGAATTCCGTTTCCATGAAAAATGTTTGAGCTACACCATATCAGATCAGTAGCTAACAACTCATAGTTAAATAATACAGTCAATATTTTCATTTTTTAGAAGAAAACATCTAAAAAAAGATACAGAGAATACAAAAAAAAAGTTGTGACGTCAAATGTAACTACTTTTTCGAGTAAATTATTAAAATTTATTCTCAGATCTCTTTTATTTGATAAAAATTTAACTCGAAATTGCTCTGTTAATTGACTTTGCTCAGAGTGTAAACAGTCAAATCCTTGCTTTACCCGTGTCAAAGTACCAAATTGAAAATCTTTCCTTGAATACTAAAAAAAAAAAATAACATTTGAAATTATTTAAGGGGAGCAATTATTTGTGATCGATTTGAACTCTATTGGTGTTCGATGGTTCTTAGATTTTTTAAATCTTTGACGGGGAAGTATTTTTTTTTAAGTTACTAAAATAAATGCTACTTTATGGCGAGACTATGTATTGTTAAAAAAATATCTAATAGTCATTATGACTATGAGATATTTTTACAACAATATGACATCGAAAATGAGCAAATACACAGTGTATTTGCTTTCTTCAATTATTAAAATTTTGATCGAAAACTACTAACGTTTCAAATTATGTATGTAGTAGCGCCATCTAGTTTTATTTCGAGAACTATTCTCCTCGGAGTAAAAAAGTTCCGTCAAAACGGAAGCTTAAGATAATATATCAATAAATTTAACACGCATGAACAATTATTATATTTGATCAATGTTAAAAAAAAATATTGCAGCATTCATTATGATGAATGAATATTGAATAGGTAAGTTTCGATATACAAACTTAGTTTTTAGTTTTATACCTATAGTGCTTCTGAATCGGCTTATTACTTCCGACAAATACGTTGATTCATAAAGGAAAATTGACGCTTGAAAAACGTTAAAAGTGATTCAGTTCGTAATGAGTCTCCGTTATAATGCAGTTAGTGTGTGGTTAAGCGGATTCCAGTCTTTAATGCAAGAATGTCGTGACGTACACTGTTATAATTCTATGTAACTACAATGAGGTTACCGTGAACAATACAGAATTGTGATAAAATATAAACTCATTTTTCAGACTGATTTTTTCTAAGAAAGAGTTTCCTTTTTCTTAGAGATAGAACTCGATCGGAAGAGTTTTATTTTATAACTAAAACTTTCAGACGCTAAACGGCAGCTTTGCTATTCGTTTAGATAAAAATAAAGCATCGTACTCTGCCTAGTCGCAGCATTAGAGTTTGAATCAAAGAATCTTTCTTTTTTGCTGTAACAGTGCTGTTTAGAATAGCACTGTAGGTTGTAGCACAGGCTGTGTATTCGCTCTTATACTAATTAGCATCCATTATAGAGAGTGATTGAAGTTCGATTTAGTTAATATTAGGTCCTTACATATGATATTGGCGTTTTGTCGTACTGGCCACTTTAATCACAAATTTCTCCTCCTTGGCTGGGAATTCCAAATTCAAATTTATAGAGCCATTTACGGTTGTGTCGCAAAAGAAAACACAGTGCGATTTGGTTCCAACGTTTTCGTTCTGGAAATTTCTACCTGCAGAACAAGCCCCGTGGACGGCCGGAGACCCAAGTTAATAATGAAGAATTAAAGGCTATTGTGGAAGCGGATCCATCGCACACCACGTCTGAGTTAGCTGCAGGTTGTGGTGTTAGTAATAAAACTGTTTTAATCCACTTGAAGCAAATTGGAAAGATTAAAAAGCTTGAAAGGTGGGTACCTCACGAATTGAGTGAAGCAAACCGGCAAACGCGCTTCGAGTGCTGCGTTACATTACTAAACTGGCACAATAATGAAGGGTTTTAAATCGAATATACTTTAATAATCGGAAGCGCTCATCGCAACGGTTGGACTCTGGCATGCCAGCCAAATCCTGCCCCAAGCGAATATTGACCCCAAAAATGTTACTCGTAAGCATTTGGTGGACTAGTGCCGGTGTCGTTCGTTACAGATTTCTCAAATCTGGCCAGACGATTACGTGTCAGTGTCAGCAATTGCAAACCATGCTCGAAAAACTAGCTGTTAAACAACCGAGGCTGGTCAATCGCTCCACGCCACTGCTACTTCACGACAACGCTAGACCACACACTGCACAACAGACGGCTATCAAATTAGAAGAGCTTCGATTGGAATGTCTAAGACATCCACCGTACTCCCCGGACCCTGCTCCAAAAGATTACCATTTTTTTAAAATTTGGATAACTTCTTGCAAGGGAAAAAATTCAACTCCGACGAGTGCAAATCACCTTCAAAGATTTTATTGATTCCCGTTCGAATGGTTTTTTTAGTAAGAGGATCAATGAACTACCTATGAGATGGCAAAAGTGCATAGATAACAACGGTTTATACTTTGATTAATTAAATATATTATATTAAAAAATATTCGACTTCTTGTTCCTGCCATACCAAACACCAATTTCATACGTAAGGACCTAATATTACCTCATAGGTAGATAAATTAAACCAATTGTAAAAAAAAAAGAATTATACTTTACCTAGGTAAATATTTCTATTTCTGTTCTCAAAAAATGGTTATTAACGAAGCAAAAATATTTTTTCTATATCAATCACATAGATTCAGATAAAATATTTTTGCGTCGTTATTAACAAGTATATTGCTGAACTGAAACTTATCCAAAAATATGAAATTCTTGAAGTAAGTACTCCAATATAGTCTTCTACTTAAAAGTCAATATTGAATCTAACATTTAAATTTAACAACCTAAAAGAACATAGTTTCGATTCTTAATGTTTATTTTAGGCTCAATGTACCATTAGGTAGTTAAGATAACCGTCAAACTTATACTGTTATCATAAAAATAAGCGAGACTTAAAAAAATAACCAAGATTACAAACGTAAATCAACAGCAATCGAAATCAAAATGTTGAGGCGCATAAATTCACATTGATAATATTAAATTTAAAATAAAAATACTAATGCAAGTTCTAACGGAAGAAGAAAAACATTTAATACATAGAGGTGTCAACATCACCTAACTTAAAAAAAATACGCCTGACAGAATCTATTCGGCAATCTTAAGTTGTCATTTGGTGTAAAAAACTTTGTACATACGTAAAACCAAATAGCATCTGAACACATCATTTATTTTTATTGGTTTCAATTTTATCTCGATCCAATAAGTTTTAATATACAGTGGCATCACAAAATTTACGACAATTCGTCTATGATCCACATAAAAAAATTCACTCTTCATAGCTGAGGTCATAATGTTTGAACTTTCATATTACTTTGACCAAGAATACCTTTCAAAAACTTTTTTAATACGCCTGATTTACCTTTTGCTTTTACTGTCATCCAGGGCCTGCTCAAGGGATGTCAGGGTCATTTTCTGCTAATCTACTTAGCTAGTCAAATTCAAAGTACAAAATAGTATTTTAGAATACTAAATTATTGGCAGGATAGATTCCAACCATATATAACAAGTTATAGTTATAGAAATATCTAATCATATTTTAAGATACTGTTTAAAAATGTAGCTGGATACATAATTTATAAAACTAATGCGTCTGTAAGAGTACGGTTGTAAGAGTATCTTAGAACCGAAGAATCATAAAATAAAAAAATTTTTTTTTTTATTGTTAGCCAGTGTTACGTCGCGGTACACCCGATTGTCTCACAATTTTTTTGCCCTTCTATATTTTGATTCAGACTGTAAAGTTTTTTTTATCAAACGTTTTTATCGGAAGAGTATTCGAACGCGGTTGTTGTCGTGAGATGGTACCCTTATCTGACGTTTCCGTTCATTGACAGTTATACCGTTGACGATTCAATGGTAAACTTCATGTATTAAGTTATATAAGTCAAAATATATATTGAAATAAACTAACAAAAAGTATCTTTAGTGCAAAATGCTTAAAAAATCCACCAGTCCCACTCAGGAATCCCGACATTTTATGCTTATAAAAGATGTAGAAGTTATGCCACGGCAAACTAGACAAAAATATTAAAATGTTTGTACCAGCCTCCTTGTTATAACTATACAATAATTTACCATATGACATGAATTTTTCGAATATGAATAAATTTAAATTAAAACTGACAAAGTGGCTTATGGAACACAGCTATTATAATCCAAAAGAATTTTTATCTTTTAAGAAAAGTGCATGATTTAATAGAATTTTATAGAGAATACTATTACAATATTTGCAGGCCTGTTCTCGGGTACCTTTGTCATTATTTAATTTTGTGACATTTTTTATTGATATTCTATCAAATGAATATGTTATATTACCTGTTCAGAACACCCTTTAGTTGAAACGAACAAGCAAAAACCTCACCAGCCCTAACAGAAGTAACGACAATTACAAAAATAATAAAATTACGACTTCATATGGCTATTCTATCGCCTTTACAATATTAAAAATAAACAATAAACAACTAAAATTCTTAGGACTCAATGATCCTTGTAGAATCCCTATCAAATTGCAAATAAAAACCGTAGGTATCAGTAAAATGTAAGGTATCCTAAAAGGTTTCAGTTCATTTATTGTTAAATTTAGCAAACAATTTTAGGATTACATGTCAATAAAAAAACCATAACTTGCTCTATTAATCTTTATTGGTTTGGTCCGTTTACGTTTTTACGTAAGCAATAAACATCAATAATGAAAATATATGGAATCAAACATGATTCTATGGAGTAGATAAATGACTTGTTTTTTTATGACGTACTTATTACCTTTTTAAAATAAATTCTTCAGTTTGATATTCAATTAGTCGATATTGTCTGTGAATATCGCTTAAGTTAGCGTGACGATAATAAATGAGGAAGAGTTTTTGAATTTTTTATTGATAAAATTTCTAAGGCTGACAAAATAGAAAAACAAAGAATAAAGTAAATGTTGATTCATTTATAGACGGTTTTCTTGTTTCAGATTTCAACAAAGTGGAAAATTATCCAACGATGGTGTACTTTCACGGTGGTGACTTCTTACGAGGAAGTCCAAACAGCATCAACCCGTTTCAAATAGTACTTAAACAAAAGGTACGTTTGTAAGAAAATGTCTAATGTACATTAAACAAACACATGTTGAGTTTCGGCAATAAAATTTTCCAACTCCATTTAAAAAAGAAAATTAGAAATGTCCACATATCAAACAAAGAAACATGTATATTCGTTATACTGTCAAAAAGCTTTTCCCAGTCACTAATTTCTGAGTGTTAATAAATATGTACAATTTCACAGGTCATCTTTGTCACCGTTGCTTATCGGTTGAACATATTTGGGTTCTTTTCATCTTTGGACAACGAAGCTCCAGGTAACTACGGCTTACTGGATCAAGTAGCTAGCCTAATTTGGGTAAAAAACAATATTGCAAGCTTCGGAGGCGATCCAGAAAACGTTTGCATTTTCGGACATGACGCTGGGGCTGTTAGTGTTGGTCTGCACCTCATCTCATCTTATTCTGCTGGACTATTCCAAAAAGCCATCGCAATGAGTGGCAATGTCTTATCACCAGGAACTGTAAGTGTAGCTCGAAAAGAATCAGCCACTGTTGAGAAAGTAGCGAGCGCGTTCAGTTGTTTTCGCAGGCCAACTTATAAGCTATTAGGATGTCTCAGACGAGTTAACTACCAAGCTCTTTTAGACATTGGTGAACCATTAGCTGAATGGAAACCGATGGTAGATATTGGATTGAGTAACTTATCCACACCATTTTTACCAGATTTACCAAGTAGAATGTTCAATGACGAGTATTTTTCACCCGTACCAATTTTAACTGGTTACACAAATATGGAAGATGCTCTATTGCTCCAGAAAGAAGGCGAAGACTCAGGAATTAGTCCAAGAGAATTCGATGTTATGCGAGAAGAAGTGATACTATCAGATATCACTGTCGACAACAGTTCATGTTTCACAAACCAACATCATATTCAAGATGCCGTTGCATTTTTTTACAAGCCAATACCGCCTACGACAAATGAAACTATTTTACGAAAGCAGTTTTTAGATTTTTACACTGACAAAGTACACGGGGCCACTACGTACCAACTAGCCAAACACATAAGCAAGCATGCCCCTATTTATCTCTATCGTTTTGATTTAAAACCATTTTCGGATATAGCTAATGAAGGTATCCCAGAGTGGATCGATGTACCTCACAATTTCGATTTAATTTTCATCTTTGGCTTACCGTATTTAGCTTTACCAGAAGATTATCCCAAATGGGATTACAGAGATAAGAGTGTTAGCGAAATAATGATGAAAATGTGGTCGAATTTTGCTTGGTACGGTAATCCAACCAATTCTGGAGTAATTATAGAATGGGATCCATTCGAAATTGAAAAACCAGGTTATTTAATAATTGATCGTCAAAACTTTTCGATGAGTACACCCGAGAGGATAAATTACCGGGCTTTCGAGTTTTGGACCGACTTTTATCCAAAAGTTGTAGAAATAGGCACGAAATGTTGCAAAGAAGGCGTCGAGGATTCCGGCACCGATTCCATTATAACGACCGGGCTTGTAAACAGTTTATTGACTTTACATCTCATTTTAATCTTAATCTCGTAACAGAATCGTTTGAGTGCGCTGTAAAAAGTTTTACCGTTATTTTTATATTGTCTATTAGTACCAGAGGTATAATTTATTTATGATGGAATATTAGTAAAAGTTGATGTAAGAGTATAAAAGAAGCTATATTTACCTTTGTACACATGCAGTAAATAAAGTTTCTACAAATATTAATGTCTTTAATTTAACAAGACGTGAAATGGAATCTACATCTCAAAGAATGAATAAACTTTTTGAAATCTTTTAAGTCTACATAGACTGTAAGTAATAACCATTGTGCATGTAGAAATGAAACACATAAATTATTTTATGATTTTCAAAAATAAGAATGTTGTTTATTAATTAAATGTAATACAAGAGACCTTATTACTTATAAGAAACTACTCGTATTTTTGCTAACATGGCGAAAGTATGTCCGCCTTGTAATAAAAATAGGGTCATTTTTATGTGACTCACAGATTAAATTTTACTACTGTGGGATATCGTTTGTGTCCAAAAGTTGATTTTACGATGTTATTGAAGTTTCAATAATACCATATCGAGGTTTTACGGGCAAAATATATTAAGTTACATTTTTGGAACTTAATAGGAGAGAATTTTAAAGTTTTAAAATTCCAGAAAAACAACATATCATAAAAGTAACTATTTGTTTACAAAAAAATATAATAACCAATTAACAAATTCAATTAACTTCATTTGGATACTGGCAAAGAGTTGATAACCACGTTTTAACCATCCAACTTTAAGTGAAGTTTATTGAATCTGTTTGTCTCAATCGCTAATGGCAAGCGTGTGCTTTGAGCTCTTTCGTACTTCGGGAAGTATGTTATGCCGTTGGTCCCGATTGCATGTACTCCTCGAAAATGATCGATTCTATTGTATTTCATCTATAGAGAGGACATTAATAAGCTGGTTATGATGATGACAATAGGAAATCAAGTGGTCAGAATTGTTTATTACAATAGTTATTGTGAGCCATATCTTGCAAACTAAAGATCCACTTCTGGCTTTTGGATGGAGATAAAATTTTCCATGCATATATAACATAGGTGACAATACAATGTTAATATGGAATGGACCCAGAAAGTAGTCATGGAACATATGTAAATAAGCGAAGCAACACCGTTCAGTTTGGGCTCGTTTTATTGTCAATATGAGATCTCTGGGTGTCTCTGGTCCAAGCCGTTGCTGCTGTAATAAAATCTCTTGTACATTATTCTGTTTTTAATAAGAAAATTTTAATTTTGAATTATTCATGCATATTTGCATTAAAAGTGATTTTAGTATTATAAAGTAAAAAAATATTTTTGATTACTTGAAATAAAAATATTGGATATCCTTATACTTTTTCAAATCTCCATTAAAGTGCTTAGTCTATTGGAAGACTAATTCGGTTTTTTCACAAGTTTGGCTCTTTTTGCACTAGATTTTTCGTCTCAAGTTTTTTGGCCATATTGGCTTTTTACTGATAATATTAATTTTGATCTGTCTGTCGTATTATTTTATACACAGTTTGATTTTTTGTGTTTAGTTGTTCCGAATAGCACTAGGCTATTTATACAATATGAGACGTATGTGATAATTCCTGCGTTGTCATGTTTTTTTTGTTACTGAATCAATCCCGAGGTCCGACTGCCTGACTAAAAGCTTTAGGCAAAAACATTTCTGCACGTAGTATACTTATTTATATAGTTTGTAGTCTTCATTGCATTTAGATTTTGGAATAATATTAGTGTTCACCAATACGTTTTTCGGAATTTTATTAATGTTTTGGAACATAATTATTTTCGTTGTGCCCTATGCAAAGACATTTGGATAAACTTCGTACATTATGGAGGGCTAGTAGATTATTTAAGTATATTAAAGTTTCTGCACCACAATATGCACTACATCTTCAATTTTCCGCAAATAGTAATACCATTTTAACACCCTATAATTATTTTTAAGGCGTATTTCTTAGAAATCTATACCCACAATTTTCAGATTATGTGTCCTTGGATATCAAGTCAAGGCTTGTTGGTCACGCATGACCTTCGACTTCGTCTCCAAAATTTACGTGCTTAATTTTTTTATACTTTCGGTCACGATATATTTGACACCTTATGTAAGCTTTCTGGGAAACGCTTTAAGTCGATAAGCGGGCTTTTAACATCAGGAGCTTAACATTTTCCATTAACAAGTTAGCTAGTGGCTGCTTTATAGTTTTAATTTCTTTCCCTTAATTCAGAAGGCTTAATTTAGCCTATAAGAGTCGTTACAATTGGGGTGTTCAAAGCAGGATGGGAGCTATATATGGCATCAGTAATATTTCAAACTTAACTAAACCTAATAGGAGACAACAGAAAGATATGTTTCAAATTATGTAATAAAAAAATCAATTGAGGATCTCCTTGAAATTAAATGTGGCATTACGGTTTTTTTATCTGTTCTTATTATTCTGGATCTCTTCTCTGGGTGAAATGAAAACTGATTTGGTAAAAATTTTATCTATTTATACTGGACTACTTTAAAATTTAAAAGAATAGAGATTTGATTTATATGATCTTTAGTATACTTTCTTAAAACTCTACATACTTAAAGCTTGATGGCACAGTGATTAGCGCGTTTGGTCTGCAATGCTTGATTTAAGCGATTTTCGTAAGAGCCGGTCATAATATGAATGACCAAAAGTAACTATCTCGAAATCTTAAGGGCTTCGGGGGGAACGTTAATCTAATCTGCAGTTGTTTACAAAAGCCCATCAATCCGCACTGGACAATTCACCCCATTCATTTCGATTGAATTTCTAAAGATGATTGCAATTAAAGGTACAAAATTTGTAAGGAAATTTTGTACCTCGATATGTCCACGTTCTATAATAATTTATTTCGAATACTTTTATAGCGATAACAAGCGCCATTTAGGTTTTGGAAACAGTCCAATACCTATCCAAAGCTCTATTTTCTTTGCATATTTAATTAGACGTTAACATAACTACAGGAGTTACGTCATTTTAGATATTCATATGAAACTAGATATATGATGTACTCTTTTATGAGAGTTTTCTTTCAATTATTAGTTTTCTTTTAACTGTTATTAACACAAAAGTCTTTAGGTTTTGACCTTAGGTAAGTATTTGTTTGACAGCCGTACATAAAAAGTGTTAGAAAAGTTTGTATATTATTTTAATGCAGTTTTATTTCGCCTAAATTAAATGTGCTAATAGGGATCATGACTGGGTAAAAAAAATGCAATTCTATTTAGTCCGTCAGTCAGATAATATAAAAATATTAGATACGTAATTTTATTTTAATTCAATTTTACTAGAAATAGCTTAGATAACAGGCATTAAAGTTGAGGAGTGGGGGCTCGCTACGTCACAGTTGAGTAGAAAACGTACCCTAACGTGACGTCATGCGAAATTTCAACTCCATATAACGCCGTAATTTTATGATTACGAAAAACATACAAAAAATACGTGTTTAATATTTTTTAACACTCTACCTGACGGATAAACAAACTAAAATTAGTCATCATCCCTATTGTAGAGATGTAAAATTAAGACACTTGAAAACACTAAAAAGCTGCTCTAGAGTTGTAACACATGTAATACATAGTTAATAGTTCATCTTACCTTTTACATCCCAATTGCAGGGGCTCAGGCCTGGTGATTAAGGAGGATCATGTCCATGTTCACTACGATGGCGCAATGCAGATTAGAGAGTATTAACGACTACAAATACAGCCGGGACTAACGGCGTAACATGCCTTCCGAAGCACGGAGTAGCTCCAGAAAATAATTTTTGGTCACCCATCCCGTGATAGATAGTGCATAGATAACACTGTGACATTACTTTTAAATAAATGTTAAGAGTATCAATTTGTCTTGGTAACAACAGAGCTTTTTTCGGTACAAAAGTAATACCTACATAAACAGTTAAACGCTTAAGTTATTCAAACATTTGCCTCGAACAGGATTATAAAGAACAATCGCAAACTTAAACAACATTTTGTTAACATAATCTTAGAGAAAATTCGAGTATTATGAGAGGTACTAAATTCGCAATGTAATAAAATACTTTACCAAGATTGTCGTGCTTGCAAATAATTAATCAACTATTTGAACCTCTGCCTCACACGACAACATATTTAAGATAACATTCGGGCGGCGTAACTGTTCGACTAAATATTTGGCAAGCAGCCTATTAATGTAGTTTAATAAATGAAAATATTTCTTATATTTTCAAGTGAATAAAAACAAAAACTAAGGTGACCAGGGGGGTAAATAAACGAACATTGTATTATATAAGCTAAATGTATTTTTTTAAATAATTTAATTTAATAAATGTAAACGTTTCCATAATGTATGTGAAAAAAATTGTATTGTGAATGTATTGTTTTGCAGATAGCTGTACTCTTATTTAAAAAAGACAGTCGACACCTAAGTTTTAAGTGAACACGGAACTGTATAGGGTCCGAAACGTCATGAAAACAAATACAAATGCGCCGAAATCGTTTGAAATTGTTTTATAAAATGAAAAGATGTTAAATTTATAGAAACATGTAGGTCGACGAGTATTGTTTGAAAGTGCAACACCCAGAATCCAGACAATACAGAAAATTATATTTTCATTATCGAGTAAACCGGCGATCTTACCCGGGACCTCAAGGTCATAGTCATATCTTTAAAATGGACTTGCGGACCACTCAGCTGCAGAGGTCGTCTAAGGTCGTTAAAATAAGATTTTAAAGGTAACACATCGATAGAAAAGTTACAATGTCTTTTAAAATTCATATTGTTGGTATTTATATTAGGCTAGTTGACTATTTTTTCATTTTATTAATAAAAAGTCCAATAAAATCTGAGAAATAATGTAGATACAAATAACAGAATACCTGCGATTAATAGTTTCGGAGATATGTTTATGTTTCTATGTTTATGGAACTGCTGTAAAATAGTCGGCCAGTCGGAAAAGCTCCCTACAAATTCAAGTCGCGAAGTGACATCAAGCCTTACTATA